GTCACTAGTGCGGAGGTGCGTAATGAGGTCAGCGACTGTGGGAAAGGCAGCAAGGTCAGGGAACAGGTACGGCAGCATGAGGCGGCTAAGCGCAGTAGTGGCAGGGGAGGAGTAGCGTGCAACTACAGCTTCGTACAAGTTCTGAGCACTCTTGTACTGGCTAAAGTGCGCACGCTCAGTGGTCGGTAAGTGGCGACGCACAACAAGACGTGCAGCAGCATCGCGTGTGGCCCACTGTGAGCGAATAGTGCTGTCAGCAGTAGCAGGCGGGGCAGGGGAGGCACCAGAGGTGAGATCGAACATGGAGAGTCCGTCTACCCTATCGCACTGTAGGTACAGCTGGAGGTCATCGACCCAGACCTCAAAGTCGACAGCACGACCCTCAGTATCAAAGGTAAGAACACTGGGGGTAGCCATGACTGCAGTGGCCTAAGAGGGAGTGATCTCACCAGTCCGAGTAAGTAGGGCCGGGGCGCGCCGGTAGGAACAGTAATGGCTCGACGGCAGGGCGGCTATGCAGCTCGGGTGCTGGGCGGCTCGGCGGCTCGGCGGCTCGGCGGCTCGGCTACTGGGCGGCTCGGCTGTCGGGCAGCTTGGCTGTCGGGCGGCTCGGCTGTCGAGCGGCTCGGCGGCTCAGCTGCTGGGCGGCTCGGCGGCTAGGCTGCTGGGCGGCTCGGTGGCTCGGCTGCTGGGCGGCTCGGCGGGTCGGTTGCTGGGCGGCTCGGCTGCTGGGCGGCTCGGCTGTCGGGTGGCTCGGCGGCTTGGCTGCTCGGCGGCTCGGCTGCTAGGGGCGGCAACGAGGCCGCGTAGGGAGGGGAGCGGCGATGGGGCCGCTAGGGGCGGCGAGGGGGTCGCGTAGGTAGGGAGGCGGCGACGAGGCCGCTGAGGGCGGCGATGGGGCCGCTAGGGGCGGCGACGGGGCCGCGTAGGGGCGGCGACAGGGCCGCGTAGGGGCGGCGATAGGGCCTTGTAGGTAGGGAGGCGGCGACGGGGCCGCTAGGGGCGGTGACGGGGCCGCTTAGGGGCGGCGACGGGGCCGCTAGGGGCGGCAACGGGGCCGCGGAGGTAGGGAGGCGGCGACGGGGCCGCTAGGGGCGGCGACGGGGCCGCTAGAGGCCGCAACGGGGCCGCGTAGGGGCGGCGATGGGGCCGCGTAGGGGCGGCGACGAGGCCGCGTAGGTAGGGAGGCGGCGGCGGGGCCGCTAGGGGCGGCGACGGGGCCGTGTAGGGGCGGCGACGGGGCCGCTTAGGGGCGGCGACGGGGCCGCGTAGGTGGAGAGGCGGCGACGGGGCCGCTAGGGGCGGCGACGGGGCCGCTAGGGGCGGCTACGGGGCCGCGTAGGGGCGGCGACGGGGCCGCTAGGGGCCGCGAGGGGCGGCACGGGGGGCCGTGGGAGGGGCCTCTAAGGGACCTCGACGGAAGGGCGGCCCACAGGGCGCGCCTCTGGCAGCAGCGACTGGCGCTCCGGTCATAAAAAAAAAATTCAGTGATGGGCCCAAGGAAGCGTTCCCACTAGGGAACCTGCTCTATACCATGTGAAAGAATGAGGAAATGAATGAACTAGCACAAGGTTGGGTACAAGTAGGAAACCGTAGGAAACTGTACCCCATAGTATCTACCCCACTATAGCCTAGACAAGCTATATAATTTGAGTTTGACATATTTGGTACGTCCCATCCGAATAAACATGCTTCTCTGATTGATTTGTTGTTGATTTAGAGATGAACACTTCCATACCCCTAACACCAACGTTGCATTCTGCCCCTTGTTCTAAACATGTGATCTCAGCAATGTCGCTTGAGCATATTGGTGCCACCAAGGAAAAAAACAGCAACCATATGATTAGAGTCGGCATTCCCACCCACCAAAGTATGTATTTTATGTTATTCCTGAAAATGTTACTTCGTTTCCCGGGTGTAAAAATTGTTTCTTCCCTCTTAGAGCACAGTTCGTTTCCCACCTTTTGTATGATGGGCTATCCCGAAGGCCATGCCATCCCGTTCCCCTCCTCTTGCATTTGTTATTTCCCCTCACAACATCACCTTGGCCACCCCTCTTGCATAATCTGCCCATACTTAGCACACCATCCCGTTCCCCCCTCTTGAACTCTTTTTTCCCCCTCTGCACACCTCCTACTGCATAACCTCCTTTCCCCTCACTCCTTGTCTTCATTCCCCCTACTGCTGGACTTCCTTCCACCCACTGCATAACCTCCTTTCCCCTCACTCCCTGCTTCATTCCCCCTACTGCAGGACTTCCTTCCACCCATTGCATAACCTCCTTTCCCCTCACTCCTTGTCTTCATTCCCCCCACTGCAGGACTTCTTTTCAACCACTGCCTAACCTCCTTTCCCCTCCCCTTCCTTGTTCCCCCTTGACTCCCATCCGTTTCCTCTCCTACTTGCCCACATTCTCCCCACTGACTGTCTTCTTATTTCCATCCTGGATGCTTTATGCTGGGTTATGTGTGCGTGCTGGCTATTAGGCTCTATCGATGCCAGCTCCGGGGGGCTTCAGCTGCTCAACACCTTGGGATAGGTGCGGTCAGTTGCAATGCTGGGCAACAAGATGCAGTGGGGTGCATAGAGGTGCAACAATGCAAGCTATGGCATGTCGATCACCCTACTGCTTCCCTCTCTAAATCATGCTCTTGGCCCCTTCTTACCCCTCCATGAACCTACAAACCCATTGAACACTCTTCATACCTTTCTCCACCCCTCCATACCCTTTGCAGGGCCCCCTGATGTCATCATAGAGCATATTTTTGGCATGGCTGAAGTGCCGGCACCCTGCTCAGAAGGTCATTTACAGCAACAAAGATCGCAGACAAGATTGCCCTTGTTGTTTTTGTTTTATGTGCTATTCACGAAGCCCTCATTAGCAACTGACATGCAGGTCTTCACTACACATTATAGATATTCGTACAGTGGACGTCACTAAGTGCTACCCTCACTACCAAGCACCCCACTAGCACTATTGAGATCAAAGTCAATGCGAGTGGGCAAACCACAGATTGCGTTGAACCACGCCACATCATCCGCACCACATCCAACATACAACCCGCCCTGAGGCTCGGGGTATATTGTTGCAATAGCCACATAAATCAACCACGGCAGCTCAACTTCGTCACCATCTCCCAACAAGTCCGAATAACCGATATAACAGCGGAAGCGATGGTTTTTAGGATACAACTCCTCCTCATTCGCACCAACACTCAGGTTTGCACCGCAGGTGACACGAATGATGTTCTCGACGGTACGTTCGGTAGCGAAGCGACCCAGTGTGGACTCCCGTGGGAACCCCAACCACGCTGAGCCCCACTTGCCGAACACCTCATACTATTTTGGAAATCATCTTGCAAATTCAGCAATCGTCCAGCAGTACAACGGCATCCTAATCACCGGTGGTAGGCCAGATCGAACTCGGGCCAGCCTAGTGATCCTAGGTGTAGCGACGTTGGAGATTCTGCTTGTCTGAGACTCCACGCTTGCAGTCACAGGACGCGGATCGGCACGGCTCTGCGGAACCGTTTCTTCCTCGTCATCCTCACATACAAGCTTGATGGGATCCGGCCGACGACGCATGAGCGCACAAGAGCGTAGCTTGCAACGCGATGGTCGTTTAACGAAGACCTTGCAGATATGGTCGCGCCACGTAGATATGGCGGTGCAAATTTCGCGGTGAAAAAGGTTGCCGCGGAAATTTCGGTACACTACACGGTTCAGCCAAGGCATTCAGCAGCTCGCTCCTCACGATTCTCTACCCACCCACCCCACACCCGACTTTCTAACTCAAGGCTGCCTCATGCCTTGGCGTCCTCGTGTACCATCCGGGTGAGCTCATTGATTTGGAGCTTCGAGAAAAAGAACTACACAAATGCAACATCGCTAGATTATATGGAGCGATGAGATGCTCGAGGGAGATGCAAGCAAATGGTAGCTGCCGAAACATAAGGATAAGCTTTCTGCTGATTGGCGGATACAAATCCGCCATTCTGAACGGCGGCTCTAACGGTGCGTCTTAGCTCGGCTCAAGCGGCATGCTGTGCTGCCGCTGTGTGGCAGGGAATTCGTGAATCCTCCTGACACCAAGCTGTTCGTTTTGGTTGCAATATTACTCACAAGCATACCCCTGTCAAGTATAGGCATAGATAATCCCTAGAACTGCGTGCAAAGCGTGATTTCAAACATGATATTTACCTTATTGGTCCGCCAGATCGGGTCTTCTTCTATGAGCGGCTGGAATTTTCGTGACCGTTCGTCATTTTCCTCCTGGGTTTCCATCTCGGGAAAGAACGGAGGCGGTGAAGGGAGAATTGGATGCGCTCGAAAAGAGGGAAGAGTGAAAGGGCATGGATGGCCAAAAGGACAGCAGTGGGAAGGAGAGGCAGGCCTATCAGCAGGGAAGTGAGGGGATGGAGGGAAGGTAAGCGTGAAGGGGCATGGATGCCCAAAATGACGCAGGTGGGAGGGAGGGAGGGCAGGCCCCCTGGCAGGATAGTGAAATCTAGCTTGGGAGGGGCATGCACAAGAGGGAAATACGGCATCAGGCAAGAGAGAGTGGCTCCTACGTGTGAGAGGGGGATAAGGGAGATAGGGAGGTAACAGCAAGCGAGAGTAAAAGGGAGGCAATAGCACAGCAACCAACTAAAAGGTTGACCGCACGGGCAATAGGGGTGATAGGCATGAGGAGGAGTGTGCATGCGTCCGCTACACTAGCGAGGGGGGGGAATTAGTGGGCGAGGGGACGAGAAGATATCCATGGATGTTGCAGCTTGCGAGTGGCGAGGGTACGTGCGTCGAGAGCCTGCGAAATATAGGGTGAGATAAATATGTGAAAGATGAGGGAAAGGACGCTCATAACCCTGAACCAGCAGAGGGGGAGTTTGGTGTCGCGGGGATGAAGTAAACACGCATGGATGTACAGGGGTAAAACGACTGAAAGAGGGGACTATGGGTAGATTAGAAAATAAGAGAGGGGTGAGGGTGGAGAGGGGAGTATGGCAGAGAGGGGTGAGGGTGGAGAGGGGAGCATGGCAGAGAGGGGTGGGGGTGGAGAGGGAAGTATGGCAGAGAGGGGTGAGGGTGGAGAGGGGAGTATGGCAGAGAGGGGTGAGGGTGGAGAGGGGAGTATGGCAGAGAGGGGTGAGGGTGGAGAGGGGAGTATGGCAGAGAGGGGTGAGGGTGGAGAGGGGAGTATGGCAGAGAGGGGTGAGGGTGGAGAGGGGAGTATGGCAGAGAGGGGTAAGGGTGGAGAGGGGAGTATGGCAGAGAGGGGTGAGGGTGGAGAGGGGAGTATGGCAGAGAGGGGTGAGGGTGGAGAGGGGAGTATGGCAGAGAGGGGTGAGGGTGGAGAGGGGAGTATGGCAGAGAGGGGTGAGGGTGGAGAGGGGAGTATGGCAGAGAGGGGTGAGGGTGGAGAGGGGAGTATGGCAGAGAGGGGTGAGGGTGGAGAGGGGAGTATGGCAGAGAGGGGTAAGGGTGGAGAAGGGAGTATGGCAGAGAGGGGTGAGGGTGGAGAGGGGAGTATGGCAGAGAGGGGTGAGGGTGGAGAGGGGAGTATGGCAGAGAGGGGTGAGGGTGGAGAGGGGAGTATGGCAGATAGGGGTAAGGGTGGAGAGGGGAGTATGGCAGAGAGGGGTGAGGGCGGAGAGGGGAGTATGGCAGAGAGGGGTGAGGGTGGAGAGGGGAGTATGGCAGGGAGGGGTGAGGGTGGAGAGGGGAGTATGGCAGGGAGGGGTGAGGGTGGAGAGGGGAGTATGGCAGGGAGGGGTGAGGGTGGAGAGGGGAGTATGGCAGAGAGGGGTGAGGGTGGAGAGGGGAGTATGGCAGAGAGGGGTAAGGGTGGAGCTATGATGCGAAAGACGCACGGAGGACGCTGCTTCCTGCGTCTGGACGCTCCGACGCAGGACGCGCGTCCAGACGCAGGACGCACATCGAATTTTTTTTCGGGCTGCCCCGAAAAAAAATCTCGATCGCGAAATTCACACTCTCGATTTCGACGCGACTGTTGAAATAGATACGCCCTTGCCTAAGGAAACAAGTGTTTCCTAGGCCCCCTAGCGAATTTAGGCCTAGGGGGCCTAGGAAACACTTGTTTCCTCAGCGTATGACTTAACTGCACCCTGGGCGCAACAATTGCCGCACAGCCAGTGCAGGGGAAGAATGTTACATTGACCCCGTTTGACTTGCCCAATTCGTTCGTGTTGTGGATTGAAGATTGCGGAAATAGAGTGCCTTCAGAAAACCATTATCTCCGCCCTACTGCAGCACCTTTCACCGCCCCTCGCGACAGCAGCGCATAGATTCCACTGGCGGCCATGTCGCCACCGCATGCCAAGCGAGCGAAACTCGCGCGTGGTATAGCAGTGGTTGCGCTCGCCATAGTAGCGTCCGCCATGCCCGCGTGCGTGGTCTGTCTCCCGACGGCCTCGCGGACACCCAGCGGAGCGTCGCCCGACGTATTCGACCCGACGTGGGAGCTCCTACTTAATACCCTCGCAAATTCGGGTCATTCCGGTTTTAGAGCGCTTCTACAACATTCTGCTGTCCGCAGCGCCATCGGCGGCGCGCTTAACGGCGCGCCTTTTACGGTCTTCGCCCCGACCGACGAGTCCCTGGTCAGGCTGCCGGCCGCGATTGTCGCCGTCTTACGGAACTCGTCCCACATGGAGAATCTCCGTCAAGTCATGATGTACCACTTCGTTCGCGACAAGATCTCGCGTTTCGCGTGGGAGGGCCCCTGGCGGACCGTGCAAGGCGAGAGCGTCGTGTTGCACCTGGACGACGCGAGCTTCACTGTATCGGACGTGCCTGTACTGGAATACGCCGCCGCAATCTCGACGAGCTTCGTGGTGCACACGACGGACGGGCTTCTGTTCCCCCCCAGCACCCGCGCGCGCCTCACTGGCGCGGAGGGCCGCGCGCGGGGAGCAGCTCAGCTGGCGTCGGTTAAAGAAAGCTCGGCGGGGGGAGAGGGGAACGGAGAAAGTGGCGGAGATGACTATGCAGAGGAGTACGAGGAGGACTATGACGAGGACGTATGGCGGCGGGAGGCGCTCCAACAATACGACTTGTTCTACCTATACGCTCCAGCTCCAGCTCCCGCCCCCGCAACCTTCACACCATCATCCGACTCGTGTGTGTACTACAGTCACTGGGCTCTATTAAGCAGTAGTCTGAAGTGGACTTGCAATGAACGGCAGTGAGGGAAAACAGTTGCATTTCGCAGCATGCAGTGCGGAGATGGAAAGTAGCACTTGCGAGTCTACCCTGTTGTAGGCGCAGTGCAGCAATGTGCGGCGCAGACGCAGTGAGACTGTAACGCACACTAGAGCAGGGCAGTGCTGCCGTTTCACCAACATCCCCCCTTCCCCTCACTCTCTTCCACCCCCTCACTCCTCTTCCCTCCGCGCCACCATCATCATCGTGTATGTACTAGAGTCACAGGGCCCTATTGCAAGGATGGTCGTAGTAGTCTTATGTGGACTTGCAATGAGCGGCAGTGCGGCAGTCAGTGCGGCTGTACTAGGCGGTCAGAGCAGGCAGACCAGTGGCATTTCCCAGCATGCAATGCGGACATGCAATGAAGCACGCGCGAGACTGCTCTGTTGTTTGTGCAGTGCAGCAATGTGTCAGTAGTGCCAGCTGTCACCACACCAACATTCCCCCTTCCCCTCACTCTGCTCAACTCCTTCCCCTTGGTAGCTGGTTACGACCATAAGAAGAAAGTCCTCTCCTCCGAACGGTCCTCCCATGCGCGCAATGTGTGGCGAAGACGCAGTGAGACTGTAATGCGCATGAGAGCAGGGCAGTGCTGCCGTTTCACCAACGTCCCCCCTTCCCCTCACGCCCCTTCCTCCCTTTTCTTCACTCCTCGTCCCCCTTTCCCCTCACTCCCTTCCCGTTCCCCCTTCCCCTCACTCCTCTTCCACCGTTCCCCTCAGTAGCTGGTTACGACCATAAGAGAAATTTTCTCTCCCGTCCTCCCATTCGAATGGTCCGCCCGTGCGCGCAGCTAGTCTTTCAGCGGGCGCCATCGCGGGGATTGTGATCGGGTGTGTGGCGGGGGTTGCCCTCATTGCGGCGCTGCTCTACTACCTGCTCGTTGCCCGCCACAACAAGGACATGCGCTCCCTCTTCTGCTGCTCTCACCCACCGGAAGGTACGCCCTTCGCCTTTCACTCCTTTTCCAACCCCTTCTGGCTTTCTCACTTCCATCTGCTCTTTTCTGTCTTGCCCTCCCCACCCCCCTCCGCCCTCTCCTTCGTGTCTCGCCTCTTCGATGCCTTTCTGCAGTGTATGGGCCCGCCACCTCCCTTCCCACCCGCCCCTCCCCACCCCCCTCACCCATCGTCACCATCAGACCCAGAAGAATCTGCAGCCATGGCAGCAGCGGGAGTGGCAGAAGGTGCTGCAGCTCCCGCTGATGCTGATGCTGATGCAGCAGCAGCGCCGTATGCACCCTTAGCAGCAGGGGCAGGCGGGCCGATGCAGTGCCAACAGTACCCACTGGCGGTGCTGAAGCAGGCCACAGGGAACTGGGCGGAGGAGCAACGCATCGGCAGCGGGGGGTACGCAGACGTGTACCGAGCTGTGGACCCCGCAGACCCGTCGGTGGTATGGGCCGTGAAGCGAGCCAAGGTGCTCACCAACGACTTCAAGCGCGAGGTGCGTGCTGCGCTGCACGGCCATGCATGCACTGCTCTTCCTGCTGCATGCATCAGCTCATGGCTTAGAGGGCTTCTTTTTTGGTGGGCTGAAACAAGCCGTCACCTTACACGTGTTTTGACACTGAGATGCTTGCGCCAACACTGCAACTCAAGCACAGCCTCCCATCTCTGTCCGTCCCCCCCACACCCCCCCGCCTCTCCCCCCTCCCCTCCCCTCCCCTCCCCCACACCTTTCCCCCAATCTCTCCCTGTCCATCGTCAACCCCACCTGGACTGGCCTGGGCCCCTTCCCGTTGCCATGGCTGCGCGGTGTGGCAGATAAAGGAGATGGCGTCGAAGCACCACCCGAACCTGGTGCGGCTGCTGGGGTACTGTCTGGACATGGACACGGTGAACGAGCGCATGGAGCAGATCCTCATCTACCAGTACATGCACAACGGCGACCTCGAGCACTGGGTCGGCACCGACGCTGCCAAGCAGCTCACCCTGGCGCAGCGCATGGACGTGCTGGTGGGGGCGGCGCATGGGCTGGAGTATCTACACAGCTTTGGCATCGTGCATCGCGACATCAAGCTGGCCAACATTCTGCTGGACCAGCACATGCACGCCAAGGTGGCGGACTTTGGGCTCGTGCGCATGGGCGAGGGCACCTCCGTGTACACCACTCGCATTCTCGGCACGCCGGGCTATGTGGACCCTGCGTATTCCCGCACCCGCAAGGCCACTACCGCCACTGACGTGTTCAGGTGAGTGCGCGTGTGTGTGTGCAGGTGAGTGCGTGTGTGTGTGCAGGTGAGTGCGTGTGTGTGTGCAGGTGAGTGCGTGTGTGTGTGCAGGTGAGTGCGAGTGTGTGTGCAGGTGAGTGCGTGTGTGTGTGCAGGTGAGTGCGTGTGTGTGTGCAGGTGAATGCGTGTGTGTGTGCAGGTGAGTGCGTGTGTGTGTGCAGGTGAGTGCGTGTGTGTGTGCAGGTGAGTGCGTGTGTGTGTGCAGGTGAGTGCGTGTGTGTGTGCAGGTGAGTGCGTGTGTGTGTGCAGGTGAGTGCGAGTGTGTGTGCAGTTGAGTGTGGATGTGCGAAGGTGAGGTGTGCATGTAGCTGTGTGAACAGTCATGGGCTAGCCCCCACGAGCGGAATGGAGCTGCGTGTGTGCTCTTGTCTGTGTGCACGTGGCTACTGGGTGCAGGCCTATGCTAGGTGGAATGCGATCACTTGGCCGATACGCTCCTTGTGTGCCTGCAATGTGTCGTGGCAGCTTTGGCATCGTGATTCTTGAGGTCATCACTGGGAGGCGAGCGCTTGTCAACACAGGCAGTGGCAACAGCACCATTAAAGAATGGGTGAGTGAGCCCTCGCATGACTCCCTTCTGTATCACCGTAGTTTCCGGTGACAGTTAGTGGCCTCTGGGTTGAGTGTGCAAGGCAGGGTGTGTCATCCAAGTGGCACTGTGCGGTGGACATTGCAGATCCAATCCACCACGCCCACTTGCATGGCTCCACTGCATGCTGCATCATCCCTCAACCTCTTCTTCTCATTGACCTCCCCCGGCTTCCTCCGATTCCTCCATAACCCCCCATGGCAGGCTGAGGAGGGGCTACAGAGCAATGATCTGTCGCGCCTGAGGGATGCGCAGCTGCACCCGCCCTTGCCTGACGACATCCTGCTGCGAGCAGTGCGTCTGGCCATCAGCTGCACGCTCATGCCCACCGCCACGCGTCCCACCATGAGCCACGTGTACAGCGAGCTGAGTGCCATCCGGCAGGAGTGCTTTGGCGTGGAGGAGAACAGAGCTGCGCACAAGGTGGATGACGAGCTTCGCATGGTGCAGGCACAGGCGTCCATCCCGCTCGAAAAACAGCTTGAATACATCGAGTCGTTTGGATCTTCCAAGACTGAATCATCCTCGCTTGGCAAAATGGGGTGAATAATTGACTGGAAGTCGCTGAAATGTGAGAGAGTACCATCAACCCAATCAGGGCTCTTCCAAGGATTTAGGCACGTCTGAAAATATAATGAACAAAATTGTTTCGTCATCCGTTCAGACGGGTTTTTTTTCTAACTTGAGACGAATTATTTTGCATTGTCTGTTTTAGCTTACACACTAGCCGAGTGTAATTTCAGGTTGATTCTGTTTTTTTCTGTCTTTCTTTCTTTCCTTTGATATATCGAGAGAAGTTGTCTTGTCTATATTAGTTTGATTTATCAAACTTGATAGGTGTAAGGAAATTCCATTTTCCTTACTTCGCGTCCCTCCTCAGCGCGTACACCACTGTTCCCGCCCGCCACATGTGAAGAATGAGGAATGATTGACTAAGGAATGTGAAGGGTACAAGTATGAAACCCTAGGAAACCATACCCCTTAGTGTCTACCCCACTACAGCCTAGATAGACTAAAGCATATATGTTTGACACACCCCCATAGGCAAAGTGGGGGAGAACAAGGGACCACAAGACCAGTCAAGCAAAGCAAAGCAAGCTCAGGGTGGATCACAACGTCACCACACATTCCGAGCACAGGTTCAAGGCCACAAGGCCAGTTCACATGCAGGGTTACATATATAAAGGTAAACAAGCAAGTGCAGGTATAGATGTTAATGTGCCGCTATCTGAAGCCTTGAGCCACGTAACGCGCCTTGAAGACAGGCGGCAAACCTGGCGGCCGCTTCACCCTGTAAATCCACATGCCACTGACGATGTTCGCCCTAGGCGGGGGAACCTCGTCAACGTAGGTGCCTGTGCACTTCCAGGAAGCCAATCTGCATCCATGGCTGTCTGCCACTGAGAAGAGTAGGGACCCTTTATCGCCTCAAGACTCGCGGCGTAGTCTAGAAGACAGTGAGCAGCGAAGTCGACAAGCTCAGTAACTAAGGAAGACGCAGCAGTGGACTCAAAGGAAGGGTCAGTGACAACAGTAGCCATGAGACGCGTGACAGTAGGACTGGCAGTACGAAGGGAGTCAGACTCCGGGTCAGCAAGGGCAGAAAGTGAGGACTCAGGAGGAGACGGCAAAGGGACGCGCAGTGGAGTAGTGGAAGGATGCAGTGCCATCTGGTGCGTGCCCGGGACTACAGGAGGACGCTGGAGTGGAACACGACGACTAGTGCGACCAGCACGAACAGGCAACGCAGGACGAGACTCAGGCTCACGACGCTCAGCAAGCCCTCCAGTAGGACTCGTGAAGGGAGGAGGAGCAGGCAGTGGGGAGGCGAGCTGTAAGTGTGACCCGGACTGGACAGGCGGTGGACACTCTAAGGAAGGAGCAGGATCAGTAGAAGGCGGGAGACCAAGAACCTGCTCAAGGAGCGGAACGAAGTACGGCCGCGGCCGCGCAGCGCCTCCAGAACCAGCAAGGATAGCACCAGCACCCCCAGCGTCAGCACCAACGCCAGCAGCACCACCAGCTCCAGCAGCACCTCCAGTAGCTCCAGCAGCGCCAACTCCAGCACCTCCAGAAGCACCAGCTCCAGCAGCACCTCCAGCGTCAACACCTCCAGCAGCTCCAGCTCCAGCTCCAGCAGGACCACCGGAAGACGCAGCAGCACCAGCTCCAGTAGCACCTCCAGCAGCACCTACGCCAGCAGCACCTCCAGCTCTAGCACCAGCAGCACCACCAGGCCCAGCAGCTCCAGTACCGCCGGTACGAGCACCTACGGGACCCGTGGCTCCAGAACCTCCAGCAGCCGCAGAACCTCCAGCACCAGTAGCACCACCGGCTCTAGCTGCACGGCTCCTGTGGCGAGCAAACCACTGACTTAGCTCCGTGGAGAGGGTAGCTCCCGCCGGGACGAAGCACCCGAAGGACCTCCAGGCCCAGCACCACCAGACTCCACTCGAGCAGGCCCAGCACCCCCAAACTCTGCACCCCCAGACTGAGCAACCCCAGGCTTAGCACCGCCAGTCTCAGCACCCCCAGGCTCAGCACCCCCAGACCCAGCACCCCCAGGCTCCGCACGCTCAGGCTCAGCACCCCCAGACCCAGCACCCGCAGGCTCAGCACCCCTAGCAGCACCAGAGTCAACAGCTACCTCGACAGGCTCGACTGCATCTACCTGGGACACAACTGAGGGAGCAGGACCCTGAGGGGGGAGGGGGTCTTCCGGGGGGGGGACCTGGCACGAGGAAGAGCGGCGGGGGAGGGTGGGGGGCAGCGCGGTAGGGGAAGAGACGGTAGTACGGAACTGACTCGTCAAACGTGACGTCCTAGGAGGACAGAACACGGCGCGAGGTGGGGTGGAAAAACTGCCAACCAGGCGCGTCAGGGGGGAAGCCAAGGAAGACGCAGGGAACAGCATGAGAGGACAGCTTGTCCGTAGACAAGTCTCGAACGAAAGCCTGAGATCCCCAGACACAAAACCCAGACGCATCGCCAACCTTCCCGGTCCATCGCAGGGCGGGGAAGGTCTCCGGCTCGGAGACCCGGGGCTGAAGGTTGATCTACTGCGCCGCATATTGAACTGCGAACGGCCACAGAAAATGGGGAGCAGCCGCATGGATCACGGATGTACGAGCGACGTCCATGACCATGCCAATGCGGCGCTTAGCAATCCCGTTTTACTGTGGAGAGGCCGAAAGCGTGAACGTCTGCCGGATGCCCCTCTCACGGCAGAAGGCTCGCAGAAGGTCGGAGGAAAACTCTCCACCTTTGTCGGAGTGCAGACGCAGAACGGGAAAGTCTGAGCCGAAACTCTCTCTGAGTTGGAGACAAGCAGCGCGGATTCAGTCGATCAACACCCCAGGGACCTCATCCTTGGTGCGCAAGGTTAAGACTGTGGTGTAACGCGAGTAGTCGTCAACCACCAAGAGGAAGTAACGCTCGTGACCTTGTCCACGGACGCGAGCTGGGCCCCACGCGTCGATGTGAAGAGTCTGCAGCGGAGCCTCGTTCGGCGGAAACTCGGAGGAATGAGGAGCGGCGCGCTGCCGCCCCTTGACGCAGGGAACGCAGGTAGGGGCAGGCCCCGGAGGAAGGGTTGGGAGGGATCGGCGGAGACCGGAGACAAGGTAACGCCATGCCTCGGAGACGAGGCAGGGAGGGGTGACCAAGGCGGTGGTGCCAGAGGAGATTCTGGTGAGTCAAGAGGCAACACGAGCAGGGGGCAGACTCAGGACCAGACCTGGACGCTGCAGCAAACACCTGACCCGACGCAGCTGCCTGATTAGACGCAGAAACCGGAGGAGACTCGGTAGTCAGTGTGTACAGGCTCGACCCCGGCTAACGGGTAAACGTGGCCAAGTGTCGGCCAGTCCGAGCACACGTGCAGTGGGTCACCCGTTGACTCGCAGGAGTGAACTGGTCAACCCCCCCATCCTGCAGGTGACCAAGTTCGTAGAGAACGAGGGGAGGAAGAGACCTGACAGGGAGCCAGACGGGGCCGTTGGACACGGTAGCATAGTGGAGTAGTGGGCAAGGATAGGAGCCCCAGAGGGGTCTGCCAGGGAGACCGCAACCGGCCGACTGAGTGGCGTGAGGGTGGTGCGGTCTCGAAAGAAGGAGCGGGAAGCACCCGAGTCAAGGGTGAAGGTGTGCAAGACCGCACCAGGCGCAACACCAGAGAGAGAAAACTCACTAGCACCTGGAGCAGTAGACGCACGAGCACCTAGCGCAGCAGCCTCACCGGCACCTGGAGTAGGGGACGCAACAGCTCCTAGAGCAGCAGCCTCACCAGCACCTAGAGCAGCACACTTGATACCAGGGTCAGGCGGCACACACAGGTGACACGCACCCTCAGAACTAGCAGACAATGCATACATGGCAGTGAGGATAGCATCATAGACAAGAGCAAAGATATCTACCCTTTGCCTAAGCAGCTCCACCCGGTCGGGGAGCTCAGCGTCGTCGCCAAACTCTGTACGCTAAGCTTCGCTCAGACGGGCGAAGCAGCGGGACTCTGTGTGACCAGGTGTCCCGCAAGGCTGACCAGTCCGGACACCCGTGCGAATGACGTACGGGCAGCGAGCAGTACTCAGTGACCTTCTACTCTGAGCGTACCACTCGCAAAGCTGCAGGGGCGAAGGGGTCTCGCGCGGACGACGCTGGAGCTGCACCTGGCCACTAAAAGAAGCCTCCGAACTACTCACGCCACGATGACTCCCACTACGGCCACCCCGACATCCCCAACGAGCGTACCACTCACGAAGCTGCTGGGGCGTGAGGGACTCACGCGGACGGCGCTGGAGCTGCATCTGGCCACGCTAGGAGCAGCAGTAGCAGTAGAAAAAGCATTAGCAACAGGAGCAGCAGTAACAGCAGTATGAGCAGGACAGTGCTCACCAGCGGAAAGAAGGGCAGGCGTACGACGGCGGCAACGGCGAGGCCGGCACCACTGTAGGGCGAGGGCTCCGCGGCAGCTGCAGGGGCGGCTGCTCCAGGGGCCAGGGGCGGCTGCTGCAGGGGCGGCTGCTCCAGGGGCCAGGGGCGGCTGCTGCAGGGGCGGTTGCTCCAGGAGCCACGGGCGGTTGCTGCAGGGGCGGCTGCTCCAGGGGCCGCGGGCGGCTGCAGAGGTCCAGGGGCGGCTGCTGCAGAGGCGGCTGCTGCAGGGGCGGCTGCTCCAGGGGCCAGGGGCGGCTGCTCCAGGGGCCAGGGGCGGCTGCTCCAGGGGCCAGGGGCGGTTGCTCCATGGGCCAGGGGCGGCTGCAGAAGTCCAGGGGCGGATGCTGCAGGGGGCGGCTGCTGCAGGGGCGCGGGTTAGGGCAGGGCGCCGCGGCGGGCAGGGGCGACGCCGCGCGGGTCCCGCAGGGGTGTCGCGACGAGCGGGGGCGACACCCGGGTCCCGCTGGGGCGTCGCGATGCGCAGGAGTCACGCCTCGCGGGTCCCGCAGGGGCATCGCGACGAGGCGGGGGCGACGCGCGGGTCCCGCTGAGGCGTCGTGACGCGGGAGGGGGGACACCCGGGTGGCGATGGGGCGGGGCCGCGACTGGTGACG